ACATATTTTGTAAATCAATAAACTGTTACAACAGATACAAATCAATTAGTGGCAAACAGAAAGTTTCATTGTGTGACAATTATTTTTTTCAATGTAAGATGTATTTCGTTATCATTGACAGGACAAAACATTGTAATGAATTCCACAGCTGTAGTGAAACATGTTGTGCACGATGTAAAAAAACATGTCATACCCTCCACACATCTATGTTTCCTCCATTCAAAAGACTTTAAAGACTCATCTAAAAATATTTGTTTTTTGATACTGAGACTGACCGAGAAACGGGAACTCATATGGTGAATTACCGTGTGGTCCACTATTTTAATGGTAAAGATACAGTATTTAAAGTATACAATGTAAGCGATGAGTTTTGTGAGTTCTTATTTTCTGAGGAACAAAAGAATTACGTAGACAAAGCTCATAAAATGAAAGAATATGATGATCATTTCATTTTAAATTATCTTATCCTTTTTATTATTATTTTTGAACTTAAAATCATTTAATAAAGTGCAACACACACACATTTAAAATTTTCAAGTTAGTGTCAATTTCAGTTATGTTATATTTTTTAAAACCTTTATTTGGACCAAATGAGAAAATGTAAACCTCTGTTTAAAACATCAATCTGTTCATCATTTAGTATCAGATATATTTATGACTTTAGGGTTATTTAAAAAAATATATTTTACTTATCTGGCAATGAATTTAGTTTATAATGTTCTTCATTCACTTCTTTTTTCTGAAGTAATAAAGTTTTTATCTTTTTCTCTAACGTAGTTTTACATGTAGCAATTTTTTGTGTATTTATCCATGACTTCCTTTCCCATTCCGTCCAGTCTTCATTCATTTCCTTAGATAGAGCTAAATGCAATAAATACATTGTTTTTTCTTTCTCGGTTATGAAACTTCTTTTTTGTTGAATTACAATATTCAGTATCTTTTCTTTAGTCTTCTCAAGTTGATACTCAACTTTCTTGTTTTTAATATTGCAATCCAATTTTAGGAATTTTGGCGTTATCTTATTTCGTTTACACCTCATTAAAAATGCTAGTTGTTGACAGCATTTATTTAACTTTAGTTTTTGTCTTGCAAAACATTTTGCCATATATCCTGTTGCCAGATTCATAAAAAAAATTGTTTTGGCACGTGTGTAATGTTCTATGTTAAAACTCACAATTAAAAAAAAACAACGATTATTCTATACACAATTCTATTTCCAGTCTACAAATTACTAAAATACAACAACTTACTGTACAGGATAAAAAGTGGTAAAGATGAACTAGCTAATTTTGCTAATTACCTTAATAACATTGATAATTCTATAAGATTTAATTATGAAGTTGAGATAAACGTTTGTTTACCTTTTTTGGATGTTTTAGTGAGCAAATATAAAGATAAATTGGAAACTACCATTCATCGTAAACCTTTCTCTGTAATCAGTCCGCCACATCAACAATTTTGTCACACTACATCTAAAAAAAGCCTGTGTTTTTTACTCTTATGCGGATAGGATATTAAATTTATGTAGTAAACAGAATGATATCAGTAATGAGTTATTGTTAATTAAGCAAATAGCAGTGGAAAGAGGTTTTAATCCAGATGTTGTTCAAAGAGCTGCCATAAAATTAAAAAACAGGTATAAAAATATTAAGTTAAAACCATTTGCTGAAAAAAGTAAGAAAAAATGTTTAGTACTATCATATATACCTGGTTTATCTTGCCAAATAATGAAAAAACTTAAAAAACAAATAAATATTTTTCCGATATACAAACCGATAAATAAAGTCAGCGAAATTCTTGATACAACTAAAGATCAAATCGATTTAACGGAAACATTTGGCATATATAGAATATTATGTGAATGTAAAAAAGTTTATGTAGGACAAACTGGAAGAAATTTAAAATTCAGACTGAAAGGACATAAAAGAAATGTTAAAAAAATAATATTACCATTTCACCTTTAGCAGAACATATTAGTGAAACTAATCACACAATTCACTTGGAAAAATGTTTTATTTTAGCACGACCTGGAAATTTAATTGGTATGAATAGACGTGAATCTATTGAGATAATTAAATGTAAAAAAAAAGTAAATTTAAATTATTGAATGAGGATAATGGACCTGATGGAAATATTGTCAGCAGATGGCGGGAAATTCTTTAATATGTAAATTGTTGATTTGATAATTGTATAAATAAGTGTTATTTTTGCAAAACATTACACTCCTGAGCAGAAACTTAAATGAGAGTACTAATTATTGAGAGCATTGGCTGATAAAAAAACATTTATTAAACAGAAAGGAAACTTACTAATACAGAAAGGAGGGTTTTTTACCATTACTCGTAGTTCCATTGCTTTCACTGTTTGGTGGTTTGGCAGGACGGCCTATTAGTAAATTTGCTGGTCTTTCAGATGGATGAAACATGCAAAACGAATGATTCTCGTTCCTGAAGAACTAGTACACTCGCTTTATAAACCTAAAATTTACGAAAGACCCATTCATAAAATTTTAAACTCTATAGATAAAGATATGAAATCTGCCATATATAATAATACTCTACCTGCATATGATAAAGCTAAGATGTTAAATCATAGCATAATGTTTTGAGACGACGTGGGACCTACTGATCAATTTCGGCTGTCTCATCCTCTAAACTAAACTAAAGCTATGAATAAATAAATAAATTTTAGAAAATCTTAAAGCTAGCCTTTATCATTAATATATTTATCAAGCTTTCTCTTAAACTCACTTAAATTTACTGCCCCCACAACATCCCTGTTAGAAAAATAAAACTGACTTAGCTGAAGATGACTCCTACCCTGCCAAAATATATAATTATGTCCCCTAGTCCGATTATTCTCACTGTTAAGTATGAAAAAAAAGAAGATGATTCATCAACATTATCAATTCCCTTTACAAACGTAAACACCTCAATCAGATCCGCTCTAACTCTTCTTTATTTCAAGAGAAAAGAATTTGAAAGATTTCATCCTCTCCTCGTATGAAAACCCCTCCATCACAGGCACCATTCTAGTAACCCTCCTATGAACCCTTGCCAACAATTCAATGTCATTCCTAAGGTAAGGGTCCCAAGACTGAATAGAGTACTTCAAATTGGCCTAACCAGTGACCTATACAGTGAAATTATAATCTTATTATACTTTTATTCAATATTTCTGTAGATACAATCTAAAATCCTATTTGTCCTACCACTAGCAACAACACACTGCTTGGACGGCTTAAAAGACTGATCAACTATCACGCCAGGAACCCTTTCTTTCAAGAAACTGCTTAGGATATCTCCATTCAAATTATAATTCAATTATGATAACCCACATGCACTATGTTGCGTTTATTATAATTAAAATCCATTTGACATTTATTTGCCCAACTCATTAAATGATATAAATCCTTTTGTAAAACAGCAGCATCCTTTTCACAACTTGCAATACTCAAGACCTTAATACAATCTGCAAATTTAAGTAATTTATTGACCATTCCTTCATATAATCTTCTAAGTCTCCCGTCGTACCAGTCAATTTAAATTTATATTGATGATGCTTTTCTTTAATTATACTCTTTGTGAGTCAACCTAGTTTTTTACGTGCAGCTACCCTTTTCTTTCTTTCTTTTTTATGAATTTCGCCAAATTTCATGAACAGTCAATTATATAATGATAATGAGAGGCTTAAAGCATAATTTCTGTACAAAATATGAAATTTAATACTTTTGAAAGAGGAATAAATGTTAAATTCAAGATGAAGTATTTCCACCATTTGTACTATCAAGCTTAATTTTTCCACCTATGCTGGTATGGAAGTACGCAGGATCCTGGACCTCTGAAGATTAAATTAGTATTTTCCTATTTTGCGGGAATCTGAGGAAACAATTTGTCCGAACGACTAGGTTTGCCTGGATTTTGGAGAGAACAACTGCCCCCCGGCTCGTACGCATATGTACTCAGGCAGCCTAGGTTTGCTGTTGCAACATCCCACTACTAGGCGACGTCGGTACTCTTTGATGCATTTTCACTTGTGCGTATAGCTAAATTCTAACACAGTTTGCTATAAATAGATTTTTATTGATTGTCAAAAATATTCCAAAAAGTACCGAAACGGTGTTCCGTTTATCAATGTAAGTTCTGGAATGGCGTTTCTCTGCGTTTCGCTACGGTTCGAAACGCCATTCCAGCACTTAATTTGGTAGACGGAACACCATTTTGGCACGACTCGAGCACTCTACTTATTAGAAATTTAATTTTCTCAACCATGCCCAGCACAATACCCGGAAATAATAATAATCCCCTTTTATGGAGATAATCTTCAACTATGGGGATTTGTTTGCACAGTTGTTTTCAAATATTCTTAATACAGTTTTACAAAGGAAATTTAAAATCATTTGTGCATTTTTTAAAATTATATTAACAACTTTTGTGTGACATTTTTCATATTTTCATTTCAAAAAAGTCGATTTTGATTATATGAAAATATCGCAAAATTCTGAACCCTTAAAAAAGTACTTAGAATTAATTTTTAGCAAAGGTTCCAAACCAAAATAGACTGATATTGTTGAAAACAAATGGTCAGTTTTGCACAAAATTTCCTATCCCAAGTGCACCACTTGAAAAGTTTCAACTGTCAAAATAAATTCCGTGTTCTTGCTTATGTGCCAAGCTTGTGCAAATCTTTCCGAATTTAAAGAACTAATCTCCACAGTATCAGTTTCTTAGCATCATTTAATCTGTTTCAGTCTGTGTTAAATATTCGAATTTGATACCATTGATTATAAACGTTTATAAAATAATGAAAAAATATATTTGTGATAAGTAATTGTTTGAGATGCACTAATACTAATTCTTTTGAAGGAACAATAGTTATTTTACTGTCAACTAAAATTTAATATGTTCTTGAATAGAGCTGTTGTAAGCGATGAACTTCGATTTACAAACCGTTACCCAGACGACACAATACCTTTCTTTAGTTTATGCGCAGACTCTAGTCTAGTTGCTGTTAATCCTAAGGCTAAGCATGATAATTCGTTTGACAACAAGAAAGCGTGTGACTGTTGTTTTGTAAAGTGTGTTGAAAATAAGAATATATATATGCGGGCAAGAAATATATAAAACTTGAACAACAAGATGGATATTTCGAGCCCTGCATTTAGTTTTAATTTGGGAACACCATTGTCAGTTGGAGGTCAGCCTGATCTGGCTGAAGAACAACACATTCAACAACTTCAGCGTCAGTTGCAGCCTTCTCCATTGCAACTTCAGCAACATGATTCGCCATCACATTTACAGACTCAGTCTCAGCTTTCATGTTCAACACCACCACAGAGAAGTTCTTCTATTAGTGTTACTCAACCACATAGTACTACTATTACCAGTTCGGGGTTTACTCCCCAAAGTTTAATGCAACCACAAACTCCAGTAAGTAACTGCATATACTGATAATGATAGACTGTGTATAATACTACTAGTAGTACTAGTTATGGTAGTAGTAGTAGTACTGATAGTGATACCATTCTTTACTTAAGCTCAGAGTTAAGAGATTAGTCTTGAAAAAGTCACATCCAATGCCCCTTATAATTTAGGCAACATTGGACAGTGTCTGTCCATGTAGATGATCATTGTATATCTAGTATATGTACTTTTTAAAGGACAGTGGGCAGGGTTGTTGTTTTATATTTGTTGATGGTCTAGTATGCTGTGTTATTCTAATTATAAAATGTCGGAGTGATACATAGCACAGTATAAAACAAGTTTTAAATTTTTGTTTAATGTTGCTTAAAAAATTCTACTTTAGATTACAAAACTTTGAAAACTGAAACTAAAAGGCATCAATTCCTGTCTCCACCTGAGTTTGAAAAGTGTATCACTGCCACTGTCAGTTGAAGTAAATTATTGTTCAGAAAGCCCAACAAGTCTGTTCACTTATCAAGAAATAGTTAATATCATTAAAGTTCTGTTAATATTGGTTTCTTTATTCTTATATCTGAAGCAGGGCATTACTTATGAACTCCAAAGAATGTTATGAATTTTTGTTTGTTTGTTTCAAATTTAAATATAGGTTTAATGGTCATCCATACTAATACTATATAATTACTACTTTTGGAATGATTGGAATATGCATTTTTCAGAGTCTGATTGCTGTCTGGGGTGTTAAAATTTGGAATAAAACTTTCTTCTTATGTAAGAGAAAAGTAGTTGAGGAAAAAAAAGTGAAGGAAATTTTTGTAGTATTGATAAAAGCTTGAAACTTTTAGCCTGGTGTTTAGATGTGATGAAAGGAGCTAACCTAGTTCTAGTATCTGTTTATAGAAGTTTGAATGACAAATCACAAGAGTATTTGTCCCTTTTATTGAGTTTTAGTGAGACGTTTTTGAAAATATTATTCAGTTTCATTCTATCATTTTGGGAAACGTATTGAGATTCTGGAACAGGTTTGAAACATTACTAGAATTACATGTGACTTAATAATTTTATCACTGGTGTACAGAAACTGGAAGCAACTTGATTCAAACATCTAAAATAGTTAGGAACTTAAGTAAGCTGCCCACATGAAATATGTTTGATTGGTTGAATAAGTAAGCACAGAGATTGCAAGATCTAGTGCTGTTAGTTTAAAATTAATTCAGTTAGTTGTTGAATAGGTATGTGGGTTATATATGAAGGGCTAGATATAACCTGAATTGGTGATCTTGTTGTTTTTAAGTAGTGAAGGGATAACTTTGAACAGAATTGTTTTTGGTCAACTTGTTGTTTTCTTCTGTTCTTATTTTTTCTACAAATAAATTTTCATCTAGACCTCCAAAACTTATTACTAATTCCAATCCTTACTTCCCTAAAAATGAGGTGTATTGCTGTAAAATGTTTTAAGATATCTGATCTCATATTTATCTTTTACATATAAAATTTAAATACAACAAAGGACCTATTGGTCCATCTAGATCATCCCATCCACTGAACTGAACTAAACTTTAAAAATATATAGAAAAACAACCTCAAAATGAGCTTTATCATTCAAATATTTATAAAGCCTTCCCCTTAAACACATCTAAATTTACTGCATTCACCACGTTTGGAGGCAAACTATTCCAAAGGCCATAGAAAAATAAAACTGTCATGGCTGAAAATGGCTTCTACACTGCCAAAATATATATTTGTGTCCCCTGGTCTTACCATTCTCACCATTAAAGACAAAAAAAAAGAGACATCAACATTATCAATTCCATTAACAATCTCAAACATCTCAATCAGAGCCCCCCCAACTCTTCTTTTTTCAAGAGAAAACAAGTTCATAGATCTTAAGCTATTTTTTGTATGACAACCTTTTCATTCCAAGTGTCATCCTGGTAGCCCTCTTCTAAACCCTTTCCAATAATTCAATGTCCTCCCTTGACTAAAGAGCCCGAGATTAAATACAGTACTCCAAATGTAATCTAACCAATGACTTATCTAATGACATTATAAACACTTTAGACATGTATTCAGTATTTCTGTAGATACAACATAAAATCCTATTTGCTCTGCCATTGGCACTAGCACATCACTTGGATGGTTTAAAAGACTGATGAAACTTAACGTCAAATTGCTCCCTTCCATAACACTATTATGGTTATTTCCATCACAATTAATAATCATAATTTTAGTTGATATCCTACATATCTTTCATTTATTGTAATTAAAAGCTATATATGCCTTTTATTCACCCAACTCACAAAATAATCTAAATCCTTTTGTAAGGCAGCAGCACCCTCTTCAGAGCCAGCAACACCCAAAGCTTTAATGTAATCAGCAAATTTAAATAATCTATTTACCATTTTTTTATTTATTTCATTGATTAAAATTAAAAAGAGCAAAGGTACTAACATTGAGTGCTGAGGCACCCTACTTGTGACATTAATTCTGTTTGACTGTACTTATAACAAACCTCTACTTTCTTCCATCTAGCCACTTTTCTATCCAGTGAGCCAAGTTATCTTTCCACACCTATATAGATAATTTATCTTAATAAGCCTTTTATGTTACACCTTATCAAATGTCTTTTGAAAATCTAGATACATCAAATTTACACCCTTAACCTTATCTACCTAAGCAGTAACCTTTTTTAAGAAGGTTGAGAAGAGGATATGTGAACCATTTGCTACTATTCTTTCTAAGACTTTGAATAGTGGGCAGGTGGCAGAAAAATGGAAGTTGGCTAATATTAGTCATTTTTTCAAGGAAGATGATAAAGAAGTTTAAAACCCTGTTTGATAGTCAGTATGGCTTCCAACAAGGTATCTTACTTCTGCTCACATACATAGTTGTTCTTGTTCACTGCTACCCTCTATTTGCAAAATTGTTTTCACATTCCACAAATTTTTTACTTCCACATACTCCTTGGTTTACATAGTTTAACTGATTCATGCATGCAAATTGTAATGTGACAAACCTCCATCAATAGACACACCCCCACACTTATGACTCATGTGACTCCCTCTATGCTATTCTATCTAACTATCACTTCTCATTTGGCAGTGCTCGTGTTCGGATGTTTTATTTAGTGCTCTCTTGAAATTTGGAATTTTTGTATTGTACTGGACTTTGATTATTTGTTGATCGTTATTTAAGCCAACCTTCTTCTCCTGATGTTGCCCAACTTCCTCCTGAACAAGCTGAACCTGTTTGGGATGATAAAGCATTTGTCAGCCTTTTTTTTCCATCTGAATTTGCTATGTCTTCCTGAGTTTCTATTGTGGGTTTCGTTAGGCCTAATATAGCGTTTTTGGACATGATTTCTTGGATATGTTCTGTATTATCCCTTTCCACGATTTTTTTGTAATCCTTTACCTTCATTGTTACCTGATACTTCTTCCTTTCAGTATTTTGTGTTTCCACCATCTTTTCATATTGGGGTTTATGCTGAGCATTTTTTATCTCAGTTATGTGATGGTGCGGGCATGCCTTGCTCTCCACGGGCTTCAAATCAGTTTGCTTTAGCCTATCATCAGACCAATTTCCCATTCCTTGATTCTCAGCAACTGCAATCCATTTTACTCATTTGGGGGGCAGACCCTGTTTGTTCCGTTCTTTTGTCCCATGCCAAATTTTCTTGCCTTCCGTTTTCCCTCATGTCTATCTTATGGTACTTGTCCACCATACATCTCCTCTTCAAGGTGATCCACCGAGATCCTGAGGGTTTTTTGGGGATACATTTGCCATAATTACATATTTGTTGACTTCGGCTATTTCTTTACACATTCTTTACACATTGGTTACTCTGTTGTTGAGATCTTTTGGGGAAAGATGCGGTTTTGTTCCACATTTGTTTGCCATCTCTTTATTTTAAGGACTTTCACCTGGCCCCTTTTTCCCATCAGTCTGTGTTTGAAGATCGTACAGCGACTTTGGAATCCCACGTGGAATCTGGGAGACAGCAATAGATTCTTTCCTTGTTGGTTGATCATTTGTCTTGCACGGAGCCTCGACCATCCCCTATTTCTATTCCCCATCCTAATCCTTTCCAACCCTTAAAAGTTCCTTCAACTAAGGAATTTTGTTATCGTTGTTTTATTTGACACCGAGTGTCTCGCTGCCGACATTACCAGTGATTATCCTGTAGGCTCCAGTTTAGTGGAGGCTCATTTATCACAGTTCTTTCATCTGTGGCAAGATTTCAACAAGGATCTATGGGTACTTAAGGTATTATATGAGAGAATTGTCATCCATTTTCTCACAGATACCCATTTCCTTTCTATTACTTCAGTATCCTACCATGTGTAAGCATCTGTCTGAGGCAGTACAGGATCTTCTCTCACAGAATGCCATCGAACCTATGGTTCATCCTTCTCTGGGGTTTTATTCCAGGCTGTTTGTTATCCCCAAGAAAACCAGAGGATGGCAACCTGTGATCGATCTGTCACACCTCAATTGCTTCTTGGTGCTACCATGTTTTATCATGGAGTCGTTTCTCATTCTCAGGTGGGCTTTTTCTCTGGGTTTATGGATGAATAAGATCGACATATTGAATACTTTTCTCCATATTCCCATGTCACGGCTGTCAAGATGCTACCTTCAGTTTGTTTATCACAGGGTGGTTTATCAATTTCGTGCTTGCTATGACACCATATGTCTTTTGTCGGGTGGTCAAGGCTTTTGCCGGACTTATGCATGCTCGAGGTTTGTGCTTTTACCATTACATGGGTGACTGGCTTCTGTTACAAACTGTAGTAATCCTAAGCCACCTTCAAAAGAAGTAGATGAGCGTGTTAGAGAAATTCTTCCTTGTTCATACCCAGTATCTTATCCATTTGGTTATTTTGTTCAACACTCATCTCAGACGGCCCAAACTTCTCCTCTTTGACTCCGTTTGAAGGAGCTCACAGTCATCAATGCCCTTACTGCTCCCTTTATTACTGCTCATGAGATCCTATCTCTTTTAGGGA